CACCCCCCTCGTAGGCGGTGGGTCTATTTTGGAAAAATGCTGCATAAATATCAGTTAAAAAGTCGCCACTTCTAAATATCGAAATGCTGTTTTATATATGTGCTAAAGTCGTTATTAATTAGGGGATGAGCAGAGTTACATTTTTTGCTTGATTTGGTGCTTCTGCTTTTTTTTTTCCCCTTTCATTTCGGTGGAAAAACAATTGTAAAAAAAAAGCAAAAAACAATGAAGGTCCATTAACACAAGTACAGGAAGACAAGGACACAAGAACGGCTCCAGGATACTTAAAAGGAGTTTTTGTTAACCTCGGGAGCCATTTGATGCCCCCTCCCCCCTAATAATTTACATGTTAATTTGGCCTCTCTCTTTAATCCTAATGCATTTCACCAAATTTGAAACATTTTGCCAAAATTTTGGGCAACTGCTGCTCAGGAAACCAAGCCCCTGTTACTGTAGAGAATGCAAAAAAATAAATGGTAGGTGAATGGCACAAGTGCTTTTTTTAAAGGAGAACTATGGGGTCAGTGTTTTTCCCCATAGTTCTCCTTAGGGTAACGGGAGGACACAAACTAGCGTCTCCCGTCACCCTAGGCTCAGTATATAGGGAGCTACACCTCGCGGTATACTGAGACGCCGCAGCCGGAGCGGATCCCGACATGGACGTCGGGATCCACCCAGCTGCGTGAGTGACAGCTGGCTCTGCCTATCTAGAGGCAGAGCCAGCTGTACCCTCCCCCGTCCGTTCCGCAAGTCAGCGCTGGCAGATCTGAGCGGGAAGGGGGGAATCCAGCCCCTCCCCCTGTCACGGCAGAGAGCCGTGACAGGATCGAGAGGTGAGTGAACGCCGGTATGTGTTCGCTCACTTCCCGATCTACTGAGCCGACCTGTGACAGTCTCATTGTCACAGGTCGGCTAGAACTATGAGGTGAGTGGAAATCACTCATCTCATAGTTCTCCTTTAATGACTACTTTTCCTTTATGCTGATCTTGCAGCTTAGGTTCCCAGAACTTCCTGTCCAGATCAAGATCACAAGGGACAGAGCAATCATCTCCAACAGCTCTGTAGCTTGATTTGCTGTGTCTGTGTGATTGCTGAGACACACACAGCTTACTACCAAACACAAAGGTGACTGCATAGGACCATACAAAGGAGCGAACCTAAAACAGCATATCAGGACCAGTGCTCGGGGGACCAGTTGATTCTGCAGGAAACTAGCAGGGTTATTCACAGAAGGGTGACGAGATTGGAGAAGTGAACAATCTAGGACAACATGGCTGACCTGGAAAGTGAGCTGCATTGGAGAATTTTGCCAAATCAGCGATGTTGTCTTAGATTGTTCACTTCTCCAAACTCTTCACCCTTCTGTGAACAACCCCGCAAGTGACATTTTTTAGATCAACTTATTGGTTCAACTGGCCATCTATGTTTAGTGAGTCGTATCCCATTGGGGTTGCACCTGATGGTAGTAGATGAGTCTTGCGTCATTTGGAGGAGACAATAATAACGTTTTAAAAAGCACATGGGTGTGCTGCATTAAGAAATGATTTTGGACACTTGCTGATACTAATGTTGGGAGAGAAAAGAACTTTCCATCATCTGCACTATTACTGCATTGATTAAATAGATTTTTTTTTGCACAAGTATATATATACAGTATACACACCGATCAGCCATAACATTATGACCACCCCCCTAATATTGAGTAGACCCCCCTTTTCCTGATCGTCCAGGCATGGACTCCACTAGACCTCTCAGGGTGTGCTGTGGTATCTGGCACCGAGCCGTCAATAGCAGGTAATTGAAGTCCTGTAAGTTGTGAAGTGATTGGCCTCCCTGGATCGGACTTGTTCTTCCAGCACATCCCACAGGTGATCGATTGATTGAGATCTGGAGAAATTGGAGGCCGAGTCATCACCTCGGACTCCTTGTTGTGTTCCTCAAACCATTCTTCAACCATTTTTGCAGTGTTGGAGGGCGCATTATCCTGCTGAAAGAGGCCACTGCCATCAGGGAATACCGTGTCCATGAAGGGGGGGACGTGGTCAGTAACAATGTTTAGGTCGGTGGTATGTGTCAGAGTGACATCCACATGAATGGCAGGACCCGAGGTTTCCCAGCAGAACATTGCCCATCACACTGCCTCCGCCGGCTTGTCTTCTTCCCATAGCGCATCCTGGTGCCATCTCTCCCCCAGGTAAGTGACACACACGCACCCGGCCATCCACATGATGATTCATCAGACCAGGCCACCTTCTTCCATCGCCCCCCGTGGTCCAGTTCTGATGCTCACATGCCCATCGTAGGTGCTTTGGTGGTGGACACGGGTCAGCATGGGCACCTTGACTGGTCTATAGCTACACAGCCCCATACACAACAATATGCAATGTTCTGTGTGTTCAGACACCTTTCTATCAGAACCAACATTCACTTTTTCAGCTATTTGAGCTAACCCTCCCTCCCCACATCCATCAATGAGCCTTGGCTGCCCATGACCCTGTCACCGGTTTTCCCTCCCTGGAACACTTTTGGTCGGTCCTGACCATTGCAGACCGGGAATATCCCACAAGAGCTGCAGTTTTGGAGTTGCTCTGACCCCGTTGTCTACACATCACAATTTGGTCCTTGTCAAAGTCCCTCAAATCCCCACACTTGTCCGTTATTTCTGCTTCCAACACATCAACTTCAAGGACACTTGCTGCGTTATCAATCCCCCTCCCCCCCACTTCCAGGTGTCATTGTACCCAGATAATCAATGTTATTCACGTCACCTCTCAGTGGTCACAATGTTATGGCTGACCGTTGTATAGTTATACAGATTTTTGTATATTTGCACAATGTTTCTATTTTCTGCACAGATTTATATGAGATTTGCACAATTGGGAATTGTTATATTCAGGATTGATTTGTTTTATTTTTTTTATACTAAGTGCTGTTTTTGTATCAGATGAATATGGTGAAATGTCACTAGTCTATTCCCGCAGACGTGTATTGAAAGGTCCACTTTAAACTCTTCATGAGCTGGGAAACTGCGTCGTCGTTCTGCCTTACCTAGATACAAAATAACTACGCAGGGAAGCATTCTTCTGCTGCAGAGTCCGAGGAATGTTCTTTATCCGTTTTTGATGACTCATTGAGAACATCGATTTCCTCGCGTGGATGGATATATGGTGGCGTAGTCACCCAGAACAATCCTTGCCTCCCAGGCGCCCATTGTGCTTGCAGTCTGAGCCCTGAGAGGTGCCAGCGAGGAGGACCTGGCGTTGAGCGCTTGACGAAAGAGCCGAGGACACGTAGACCTCCCACCGTAATCATTGCTTCCCCAGAAACAATCAATTCACCAGCAACAGTGCAACTCCCGCCACAGATGTATCATTACCTTGGACTCCGTTATTCGCAGATGATGGTTATTATCATTTTTTTTATGAATTTGGGAAGGGATGTTGCCATGCTGAGTGCTGCAGATAATACAACTTCCTTTTTATGTATTATGTAAAAAAAAGCCCAGCGCAGTTTGCTTCATTTTTAATTCATCGGTGTATAGGAGAGATCACTTCCAGTTGCTGAGCAAATTTACAATGGAATGAGTTATTTTGCGAAGTGGGTTCAATGATGTGGGGGGAAAAAAAGCTCTGAAGTGAGATTGCGGTCCAAGGAATGTGAACTTGAGGGTGGGCGCTAAACATGGCGGGATTTACTCTATCTGCTGCCCCAAGGCCAGGTTCCTCAATGCGTCCCCTCCTCCCCCCATAGAGAATGGCAGACCTGCAGGTTGCATAAAAGTGATCTCAGGCACATCGCCGAGATCACTTGTACAAAACAAGCAGCTGCTTCCCCGCTGTACATTTAGCTCTGCTTGCCCAAAGCCGGGCTAAATGTAGAAAACAACTACCCGCCCTGTGCCCGGAACTACATGTCCCTGGCATCGGGAGATAGGAATTCCACACCCCTGCTGCCCCTCTACTCCCTGCTGCCCTGAGGCCGGGCCTCGGTTGGCCTTGTGAGAAATCCGGCCCTGGTGCTAAGCAGACATTATATTGCAAGCTTGAATCAACAGGAAAAGTATTCCACTCAGTAGAGTTATTTAGCAGAATGAGCTCATAGGTGTGTCAAAGCTGAGGCGTAATCTGCGTAGATTTTGCCTTTATGGGTCCTCACTTCCTCCATCATCAACATGCTAATGGAATATTATACGTTACATATCTCTATGCAATGCAGGCAGATCATGACTGGTGGGAGGGGCCAGCAGGGTGCCATACATAGCTTCCTGAAAACATCACAGCACTCTGCCTCACTACTCCCCTCAAGATCCCTCAGTCCTGATGCAAGCAGTGGGCCGGCTCTTGGGAGGAGTTAAGCAGATATCAAAATGCCTTGATGGGTGGGTGTCAAGTCTGCAGGAGTGGGTGTTCCTAAGCAGGCTGTAGTTGCATGTGACCACCCTAGTTAACGCCCACATGTACTGAAATCCAATGAAAGGGGCGGGGCCAGGGACAGTCAGGCCGTAGATCCGTTTGGATCATCAATCCGCAGCATGGCCTGAGGCTCTGGGGTCAGCAAAGCATTCTGGGACATTTGGATGATCACAAGCGCGTTGCCATTGTACGATATAATGTTGTGTGAGGCTTCGTTATTAATGATCGTTTTCCGGTCTTTCTGCCCATAGGTCAATCCTCCTCCTTCACCCAGCAGCCCCAGGACCAAGTGGTGGTGGCGGGGAGGCCAGTGAGTCTACTATGTGCCATTCCTGGGTACCATGGCATTGTATTATGGATCAAGGATGGACTGGCACTTGGTGTGGGCCGAGACCTCTCCGGTAGGTGGATCCGCGTGCTGTTATTAATATTTTGGTGTTATTATTATCTTTATGATTGTTTTTCTTCAATATGTTTTTGTTATTGTGAGTTTTTACCTTATTGACTGCTAGACAGGACAAATATTAAATACTTACCTCTGACCCCAGTCCCATGACCTCGGCATTGTGTATGTGGTCTCTGCTGAAGGAACAGGTTGGTGTTCAGAGCCTCTGATTGGCTGGTCCTGCCGGAATATCTGCCCCACATCCACGGCCGTCTTTAATATAGATTGAGCCGTGGGCAAACAATTTCTTGAGAGCAAAAGAGGAACAAAAAGAGAACAGGATCTCCGTCCACACCTTCCTCTCCAGGGCCCTGATCTCCTCCATGCTGTGCACACCGAAAAGGGCCCCCACATCTCAGTCAGCCTGTCCGCAGCCAATCTCTGACAGCTTGGCCCGGAAGGCTGTGTGGACCACTAATCCTGGCAGGCCGTGTGCGGGAAGCTCCAAGATGGTCTACAGACAGGCCAGCGCAGGGTGTCATGGGAGTTGTAGTCTGGTGGGGAGCAGGCCCGATGGCAGTGCTTGAGTGCCCCTGCTCATGGGGCAGATTCAGAACCATAACTAGGCCTGGGGCAACTGCCCCTTTTGCCCCGTGTTAAAGATAGCCCTGTCCACATCCCTTTTGGGGAAGGCATGTGATTAGTGCCAAAGAATTGATTACAGATAAGAAAATACCAACTTCACAAGAGCTCCAATAAAGGCAATGGCTGTATCCAAAGCAGACACAGGAAATTGAGATCCCAACAATGCTTGTGACAAATTTAAGATACTTATTGGAGAATGAAGAAAGAGGCCGACACATTTTTAGGGCCTACAACCTCTTCTTCAGGGCTGATCATGTCATTGTTATATATACCACTTAAAGCCCTTTTTTCTATATCTGTTCAATAAGTGCAAAAATACCCGCTGACCCTGCCAGACATCAAGTGAGCTCATTTCTTCCTGTGCCCCTTGCTTATGCTGCACAGAAATCTCAAGTAGCGTTATCAGCTCTGCCACGTTTGCAGAAGACCACCCCGCTATGTTCTGCAAATTATGACCAGCGACCAGCCAAGGGCAACCATAGAGAAAGCAATTATGCAGGGTCTTATAAAACAACTACCCGCCCGGCACCCAGAACTGCATGTCCTGGACGTCGGGATATAGAAATTCCACATCCCTGCTGCCCCTCTACTCCCTGCTCCTTAAGTCCCTGCAATTATGGGGCTATGAAACCTCATAAAATTAATGAAAGCCAATGTTTATTGAAAAAAATTATTAAAAAGAAGGACAGTCCGTGCAATCATTGGAGTAATAGGTAAACATTGTTAATCTCCACATTCTTGAATTCTATTCACATCATAAGGTTAGCTGAAGATCACTCAATTTCATATCTCCAGAATTTAATTGTTATATCAGTGTAATCCACTTTTTGTTTGACGCGTTTCACTTTTTACGCTTGTATCTACGGAGCAGCCAAGGGTAACAATGCCGCTGCTCCATAGATACGGTACAGTTTTGGGTGAGAAAAAGTTTGTTAGGGAATCTCGAAGAATCTGAGAACATTTCTCTATTAAATAGACTTCACCAGATTTCCCCTCAAGGTGAAGTGTCCCAAAGCAGTTACGGAGACCAACAGCAACTTTCATTCACCATGAAAAGCGGTGAAATATCTACCCTGTTTCCCCCGAAAATAAGACCTAGTACTATTTTTGGGAATTGCTAAAATATAAGACCTACCCCGAAAATAAGACCTAGTTGTGACCATTTCCCAGGGCCGGTGGTGGCATAAGGGGGAACCTGAAGAGCCGCGGGAGAGAATCAGCGGTGCCAACGAAGCCGGCGCTAGAGGAAGCGAGGCGGCACCGGAGGGAGCAGAGCCGCATAAGCCAATGCCTCCTCTATAGCCCCGCCTCCTGTCACAGGCGGAGTGATTCCAAATGCACTCCGCCTGTGAGGAATCCATAGTCAAAAAGCGCGCTTCGCTCATTCTGGCCAGCGATTGGTTAGCAAATTGCTCTTGGAAAGGTACGGCGGCCCTCATTACCCCTGATAGCACCCTATTCTTGACTTTGCCATTTTGGATTATTTAATTTGGATTTGCATTAATTTTGGATTGTTGCACATTAAAAAAAAAAAAAGACCTACCCTGAAAATAAGACCTAGTGTGTTTTTTTGAGCCCAAAAAAATATAAGACAGTGTCTTACTTTCGGGGAAACACGGGTATTTGGAACTCCCGAAAAGTGTTTACAGATATATTGTTTTTTTTAGGGTACCCTCGTTACTCTGTAGAGGGCGACCATCTGTCAGGGGAACACCACTTGAAGATTCAGCGAGCAGAGCTTCAGGACGATGCGTTGTACGAATGCCAGGCGATACAGGCCGCCATCCGATCGCGTCCAGCCCGCCTCACCGTCCTGGGTAAGTCTTATGAGTCTTATTGAAAGTTACAAAATACATTTGCTACTTTTTCTTTTTTTTAATTAAATGCCTATTTGTTAGAGGTTATTTTAGGCGATATCATTGTTTATATATCTGAATAGAAGTTTTTTTTTTTTCTATTTAGGTTTTTTATGTTGTAGGAATCTGGCCTATCACAGTGGACTGATCTCTGACATGACATCTTTAGTTTTGCTCTGCTAAAAAGTAGACATATGAATGTGGTTTCATTCTGAATGGACATTCCTACGAATTTCATTACATTCGGACATTTGGATGCATCCGCATTTCCGAATTGGAACGTCTGAATGGAAACAAATTTGTATGTTCGTTTAAAAGAGAACTATGGGGGGTCAGTGTTTTTCCCGCATAGTTCTCTTTAGGGTCACGGGAGAACATATACTAACCTCCTCCCGTGACCCAAAGCTCAGTATATAGCAGGCTATCGTCCGGGATATACTGAGAGCGCCGCAGCCGGGACGGATCCCAACAACACTGTCTGGATCCGCCCAGCTGCGTGAGTGACAGCTGGCTCAGCCTATCTAGAGGCAAAGCCAGCTGTGCCCACCCTTCCGTTCCTCCACTTGGTGCTGGAGGATCGGAGATGGGGAGGGGGACTGTCAGTCACTGCTCCCCGCAGGGATTCCCCCCTACCATCTCCAATCCTCTGTGCAGGGAGATGATCGGAAAGTGAGCGAGCGACGGTATGCGTTCGCTCACATACCGATCAATAGAGCCGACGTAAGACAGCATCTTTGTCACACGTCGGCTCCAATTATGAGGATGAGTGGAAATCACTCACCTCATAGTTCTCCTTTAATGAAAATTCAGGTGCATCTGAATTTCGTTCAAAACAAAAATGAATCAGACATGTGACTGTTCTCAGGCCAATCAGATTTTTTGGGGGGCTTTTAGGGGGTGTTGCGTTATAGGCACGTCCATGTTGCTTCCTGTTGTGGATCATTCGGAAACAAAAAATTCAGACAGATACAAAATCCCGATTATTTCAAAAAGAAATACAAATCTAAAATGAAATAAAAAACTTATTTTTGTCAGGGTCGCATGTCTACTAAAAAAGACCTCATCATCTACTGCCCTGTGCGCTTATGTGCGGAAATCCCCCCGGGAAGGGTGCAACATTAACCAACGCAGCCCACATGACTGCTATGGGGCCTGGAGTAAGCTGGGGGGCTCCATTAGGGAAACTGGTAAACTGTAAAATCAGACCTCAGGATCCGTCTTAGTGGTGTTGTTCCCCTCTAGACTTCTACTACAGACTGAAATGAACCCTCTATGCCTCCTGCAATCACAAATCCCAGTGTGTCATCTAAAACCTTACAGGACAGTTGAGGATTGTAGTTTTGCTACAAGCTTACAGGAATTATATTAGGAATATAGAGTAATTGTGTGCAAGAACATTAATAATCTTGTCATAATATAAAACATCATTATGGTTGTTATTGTTATTATTATTGGGAGCAGTAGTAGCGCTGCCACATGCTACTCATATAATGTGCTTTCAGTCTTCTACAACTCCTATGGCATGCCTGAAGTCTCTGACCATCTCCCGTCAAATGTCTTTAGACTCTGACAGCTTTGAGACTTATGAGCTTAAAGCTGAACATTATTCAGACATATAAATTAGAGGTGCAACGAAATGGAAATTACAAAACCGAAATAAAATACAAAATAATTGTCAGGCCGAAACCGAAAATGTTTATTATTTTATTTTTTTCAAATATATTTTATTTTTATTTTTTATAAACTTTTAAATGTTTTTATATTTATTTTTATTTATTAATTTATTTTTTTTTAAGTATTTTTAGTTTTTACTTTACTTCTAGGGGCTTCGGGGAAATATTAGCGATCTAAACAGACCCCTGATATTTCCCTTCTAAAATAGAAAAAGAGATTGAGGACACAAAGTCCTCAGAGACACACACAGAGTCCTCAGAGATCCTCTGTACTGAGTGTTCCTGTTCATTGATAACATGAGGACAGAGTGTGTTTACTATATCCACAATCATGAATGAACAGGAAGTGATGTACATCACTTCCCATTCATTCATAATTGAGGATATAGTCCACATACCATGTCCTCAATTATCTACAAACACTCGGCGTTCACTGATCGCTCCTTGTACCCGATCTCTATCCTGACAGCTGTCACAGGAGGCTGAGCGAGCGGTGCGGGAGGAGAGCTCAGCCTCCTCTGACAGCGCGGGCTGTCTCCGCCCACATACCGCTCCGCCGGACTGTGACAGGAGGCTGAGCGGTGCGGGGAGGAGAGACGCCGGCTGCTCACAGCGCTTTCCTCCCGCAGCGCTCGGCCGGCTGTCACTTTTTCTACTCCCCGCTGGGACACAGAGCAGCACCCAGCGGGGAGGAGAGAAAGCAGGGATGCGCCGATGTATCGGCAGGAAAAGGGCACTTCCGGAATTTAGCCAAAAGCGCCATTTTCGGCCGATATGTTTCGGCGTCCGATATATCGGTGCATCCCTAATATAAATACAAAGATCCGAGT